GTTAAATGCTTGCTTACGACCTCTTCCCAACAATGCAGAGTAAAAAAATATATAATAAAAAGAAAGATGGTAACGCAGGATTTGAGTCCCTGGCGGCGTAGTGTGTTACTGATGGTAGGCTTTGTTACTTTGGTGCCAGCTCTCTGCAGGTCATTCACTAGGTCCCCCCGTGTGGTTCTGGGATTTTTGCTCACCGTTCTTGTGATCATTTTGACCCCACGGGGTGAGATCTTGCGTGGAGCCCCAGATCGAGGGAGATTATCAGTGGTCTTGTATGTCTTCCATTTCCTAATAATTGCTCCCACAGTTGATTTCTTCAAACCAAGCTGCTTACCTATTGCAGATTCAGTCTTCCCAGCCTGGTGCAGGTCTACAATTTTGTTTCTGGTGTCCTTTGACAGCTCTTTGGTCTTGGCCATAGTGGAGTTTGGAGTGTGACTGTTTGAGGTTGTGGACAGGTGTCTTTTATAGTGATAACAAGTTCAAACAGGTGCCATTAATACAGGTAACGAGTGGAGGACAGAGGAGCCTCTTAAAGAAGAAGTTACAGGTCTGTGAGAGCCAGAAATCTTGCTTGTTTGTAGGTGACCAAATACTTATTTTCCACCATAATTTGCAAATAAATTCATTAAAAATCCTACAATGTGATTTTCTGGAGAAAAAAATGCTCTATTTGTCTGTCATAGTTGACGTGTACCTATGATGAAAATTACAGGCCTCTCTCATCTTTTTAAGTGGGAGAACATGCACAATTGGTGGCTGACTAAATACATTTTTCCCCCACTGTATATACAGTGAGTACCAGTACCAGATCAATGTGCAGCTATATACAGGGAGTACCAGTACCAGGTCAATGTGCAGCTATATACAGGGAGTACCAGTACCAGATCAATGTGCAGCTATATACAGGGAGTACCAGTACCAGATCAATGTGGAGCTATATACAGGGAGTACCAGTACCAGATCAATGTGGAGCTATATACAGGGAGTACCAGTACCAGATCAATGTGGAGCTATATACAGGGAGTACCAGTACCAGATCAATTTGGAGCTATATACAGGGAGTACCAGTACCAGATCAATGTGCAGTGGTATGAGGTATTTGAGTTGGATATGTACATGACGGCAGGGTAAAGTGACTAGGCACCAGGAGGATAGGATAAGAAGAAGAGTGAAATAAAGAACAGAGTAGCTTTCAGAAGCTTCTCAATTTACCAATCGTCTCTCTTCAACAAATAGCTGACATTTTGAACGTATCAGAGCACTTCTGTCAATATTTGACTCTATTGACTACCCAGTTCACTAGTTCATTCGATTAACGCTGGAAAGCATTTTCCCTTCGAGGTCGGACTGAGCCTGACCCTTAATTGTGTGGATCCTGTCGAATAAATGACAACACTTTATTTTAAGGGTACCTAATTAACCATCTATAAGGCATTTGTAAATTGTGTCTTCACCATTTATTAATCATTACTCCCACATTTATGAACATTTACTAATCATTAGTTAAGTATTTTTGCAGTCCCTAATCTAAAGTGAGCACTTTATACTTTAGAAATGTTTTGATTGACCAGTATAATTTCTCACAAAATGATGGGCATGCCATTGGTAGACGTTCCTGCAGTATCTGGTAAAAGAACAATCACACAACACAGGATGTTTAAGGACATATATATACACGTGTGAATAACTAGCGTACTAACATTTTACAAATGTGGGTGTAATGATTAATAAATGGTGTACACAATTTATAAATGCATTATAAATGGTTTATGAGGTACCAGGGGTTTCATGCACCACAAAAATCTGAGGGGGCACAAAGTATGTGAGGATTGCTGGGGGGTGGTCCGGCGGGGGCTAGGTCTGGAAGTTGGAGGAATTGTGCATTTTTCAAACACCTGAAACACATTTTCCTGCTATCTAAAGACATAATCATTATGCTTAATTCTATGTCAAAATGTTTATTTTACTGCATATCTAAGCATACCTCTTCAGCCGTCTGTATCCTCCTGACTTATTTTTATTTTTTTTACAAAAACTGCTTCTCTACATCTCTGAATCTGGGTGAAAGATTGAAAGGAATGTGAGTCTTATTTAGTAATTGCTTGCTTTTCTAAAGACCTACCATCGTTGCCAGTAGGCATGCCAGGTAAAATAGTTAGACAAGCTAGCTACTCTAACTTAATTGATAGCCTGAAATGGCTTCTTGGTAGCTAGTTATGAGGTTGGGAGATAGGTTCCCTATCTGGGCTAGCTAAAGACAACTTCATAAAGTGGCTAGGTGGCTAGTAGTATTACACCGAAAGATTTGAAAAAGGACAAATCTGAGGTGGCACGTGCCCCTGTGCCCCCTATGGGCATGACACCTCTCTTAGGTACCCTCAAAATAAAGTGTTACCCAAGAAATATGCCCGGAAAACGTTTAATTAGGTTATTTTTTCTGTTTTTCTTATTTCTGTATTCCTCTTCTAAGACTTCTTCTCTTGGATCTCTGGGCACCAAAAGGCCTTGAAATGAAAGCCTTTATTTCAATCCATCATCTCTCCTTCCCACTGTGCCGTGTCCCCAGTGAATTCACCTGGGGTTAAACCGACTAAATTTAGACCCTCAATTATGAGCAATTACTGAGCAGGCCCATAGGCCCCTCAGTGTATTGACTCCCTCACTCACACCCGCACTGCGACACGCCGCTCAGTTTCCATACGTAGCTGGGTAAGTACCTGTAATGAAGTGAAACTGCATGGGGGAGAAACTGCCATCACGGTTCCTGAAACAGCTCTCTTTATTCAGTGTTTAACTTGGCTGCAGTGGAGACTAGTGCTGTGCAGTGAGGTGAGCTACTCCTCATTGCACTTGGATTAAGTGTGCTGCAACAGCAGCAATGCCCATTTCTGTTGTGAGTAACTTACATGTGTTCAGTCAGTGCGACCATTTTTAAACACTGCCACGTCATTATCCTTCTAATTTGATGTCCACATTCCAACACAAAGTTCTTTCTTGGATGGTCATTTTAGAATTAGGTGAGAAGGTAGCCATGAGTCATGCAACCCCTTAAAATATCTGGGCATTGGCCACCTGCTCTCAGAGCTGGTACATACTGGTTTGTTGTTTGTGGAACTGGCAATTAGACCATAAATCAATCCTTCACCAGGCTCAGTTAGATGTATCAAAAATGTATGCACTCACTAACTGTAAGTCGCTCTGGATAAGAGCGTCTGCTAAATGACTAAAATGTAAATGTATCAAAACCAACTGAGCTGTTGCCAGATTAGCATAGCAACCTGCCAGATCTCTTCAATAACATACCATGGGTGCTCTGTCATCTTCTGATGAGACTTTTCTGTCATAGAGAAAGGGTAAAGAACCCATAGTGATATCATCAGAATAGATCTCTCTCTCTGTCTCTGTGTGTGTGTGTGTGTGTGTGTGTGCACATGGTTTTAAACATCCATACAGACATGTGGACATGGAACTGAGAGCCTTCTAGCATTCTAAAAAACATTATTGGATGCTTTAACAGAACACCCCAGAACAATCTGAAGTCTTGTATGTTCCATTCCGACTAAGTATTCTTCTGAGAAACGGCAGAGGGGTGGATCCGCAAGCTCTCAGAGATGGGAGGATGATCACAGCTCTGTCTGTTCCACTTTATCCCTCTCTTTTTGGACTGTCTGTGGGGCAGGCAGCAGTGTTCAGTGGAGTGCAGACGCTCTTTCATCCCCTTATATGGCTGTCAGTCTCACACACATGCAACCTGCCTGACACAAATGTAGGAAGCCTTATGATCGGCAAATGATGTAACATGTAGAAGAGGTCTGATCAGAGAGAGAGAGAGAATTGCTGCAGGGGTGTGATCCTGGACCCCAGCCAGGTAAAGCAGAGGTAAAGTCTTCCCATTAATCCCCGACCAAAGATTCACCTTAATTGAGGTACGCCTCAGTGAACAATCACTCACAGGTTGATTGATTTCAGCAGTCTTGAAGGTTCTATAAATTCTTGTCCTGGAAATGGTTTGTGGAAGATGGGGCTCCACCTCAAATCTGTTTGCTCTCAAGGTTTTGTCCAGTTCGCATTCATGTAAAATTGTTAGGGTCAATTGTGTTGCAATTTCCAAACCAAATTGCCACACATACAACAGAGGAAATGCTTGAAAGCATAATATCCATTTTATTTGACTTGTCATCTGACACAATTTGTAGTTTGTTCAGTTGTATTTAAGGTATACATACACATTAAGGTGATTTAGATAGGACAATCATCCTCATATTATTTACAACCCATGCTCCATATCGACTAAAGCTATGCGTGCAAATTGTTAATCAATGCCGCAGGCACTTGGCCATTCATTATCAGTGTCTGCATTTTCACTCCTCTCTGAGATTAGTAGCTAATATACAGACTGATAAAATGGCTATGGAATAATAGTCCTGCCATTGTGGTGACTGTATTTTGAGTAGTGCCTTGCTTAGATTGATAGTGACACCCCAGATCCCGGTGGTAATTCCCCTTGCTTTCACTTTGTAAAGCATCACTCCAGATTCCTCCCAGTAAGACTGGAGAGAAAGGGTTCATTATCGAGGAGGCAGATTTCTTTCTTGGCTTGTGTCTTTGGATTAGAGTCATGACAAATTAGAAAAAGTGGGTCAGGATCCGTTTGTCATATTTGGTGGGGAAGGGGAACCAAAATGAAGGCAAAACACTACTCTCACACAGCACTTTGGAGAAGGAGAATAAAATATGTTAAATATCTCGTCTTCTGAATGCAGCCTCAAGACTTAACACATTTATTTTACTTGAGACTGAGAGACTTTTACCTTCATCTGTCATCTGATGAAACACTGGCTAATCCTCACTCAGTTTTATATCCATGTCTAAAACATGTACGTATTCCTGGTAAACTGGGCTAATTCTCCCCTAACTGGCACCTTTTAAATGTCTCAAATGTGAGTGATGTAGTGGAGTAATCGATCTCACAAGTGGTCCTTGTTGTGCTGTGCTCAATGCGCAGGGTAATGGGGCCGGTGGAATGTCCTGTCACAGGTCTATCTGTGTGCGTACAGAAGGAACAGGCCCTGCTTTGATGTCACATTAGCAACACTCAAAGGCTAAGTCGCTCCCACCCCTCTCATATAGGCCTGCTCCTATGTTTTGTACATTCAGATGTCTTGTTTTTCTTTGACCCCTTTCTGATGTCCTCTTTTGGGCTGTAACAGAACCTCTGCATTTTGTAACCCATTGAGCATTTGAACCAACAGCATTTTGTTTACTAACTAGTCCATCTCCTTACCTACTTTGACACAGGCCTACTAGGTTTAATTATGTACTGTACCATTGACCCATTGAGTTTCTGATCGTGTTGCTTTCCTGTCCCCCATGCAGGTCAGGAGCGATTTGGGAACATGACGCGGGTATACTACAAGGAGGCGGTGGGGGCATTCGTGGTGTTTGACGTGACGAGGGGCTCCACGTTTGAGGCCGTGTCCAAATGGAAACACGACTTGGACAGCAAGGTGAAACTGGCCAATGGGAGTCCTATCCCCTCAGTGCTGCTGGCCAATAAGTGTGACCAGAAAAATGAGACCTCCAACAACACTTCCCTCATGGACAACTTCTGTAAAGAGACTGGCTTCCTGGGCTGGTTCGAGACCTCGGCCAAGGTGAGACACACACACAAATACGCCTACACCATAAGACTATAACACAGTGGTGGCTGGTGGTACTTTAAATGGGGAGGACAGGCTCATAGTAATGGCTGGAATGAAATGGTTTCAAACACATCAAACACCTGGTTTCCATTTGTTTGATACCATTACATTCACTCCATTCCAGACATGATTATGAGCTGTCCTCCCCTCCACTAGCCTCCTCTGCTATAACAGTGTGCTTTGTAGCTATTAGCTCTCCCCAAATCATAAAGCATTAACTACAGTAATAGTACTACAAATACTATTACAGCTAGTGTGTGCATTAGGCTTTTTTTATCAGCTTGAACTGAAGGTAACTGTAGGTCTTTGTTTCCAAGGTTGTTTCCTAATGTTTTACAGGTTGCTTTCCAGTAAAAACAAAAAATGCAAATATGTGGATTGTCAACGACAAACACAAGGACAAACCTTTTTCTGTATTACTCAGATCAGCTCAGAGTAGCATGAAATTGCCCATATTAAGGCCACATGTTTAAGATGGCTGACATTCCTCAGTGTATTAAGGATAAACCAGTGCTTTCATGGCTCTAGTTGCATGGCTGATTCACTGCAGCTTACCATTTTAAATCATGCTTCACACATGACGTTACTGTGCATTGTTTTTATGATAGTTTTTTTGTGCAACATCGAACACTGAATAGATGGGGAAAAAACTAAGGCAAGAATAGCATGAAAAGGTAATGTAATACAAGTGTTAAGCCACTGGTGATTTAAGCCCTGACTGGGGGGAGTTAAATCAAAACATTTGGTAGCAGTACTCCTCGTGCTGCCAAATCTAATTATTTGTACTGTGGGTCATTGTGCTGTTGAAAGGAGCAGAGTTGGAAAACACAAGCATACCCCACCGTGTCACTCTGAGCACTTTAAGTTAGGAGAGACAGAAGCATGCTAGCCAACAGTTCCAGCCAGCGTCACAATAACAACAATAATGGAAGCTGTCTTCAATGCCATTCCAAGATATGTAAAAGGCCTTCAATTGAGTGCATATCCTCATCTGACAACACTCTGCTTTGTTTGACAGCTTAAAGCTTTTTATTGGAGGTTGTCAGGCGAGGTCTTTAGAGAGAAATTCAAAATTACATTTGTAGTATTAGGGATCAGGGAGCAGGATTTCGTTAAGGTGTATGTATATATGTACACTACCAGTCAAAAGTTTGGACACACCTACTCATTCCAGGGTTTTTCTTTATTTTTACTATTTTCTACATAATAGTGAAGACATCAAACCTATGAAATAACACATATGGAATCATGTAGTAACCAAAAAAGTGTTAAACAAATCAGAATATATTTTATATTTGAGATTCTTCAAATAGCCACCATTTGCCTTGATGACAGCTTTGCACACTCTTGGCATTCTCTCAACCAGCTTCATGAGGTAGTTACCTGGAATGCATTTAATTTAACAGGTGTGCCTTCTTAAAAGTTAATTTGTGGAATTTATTTCCTTCTTAATGCGTTTGAGCCAATCAGTTGTGTTGTGACAAGGTAGGTGGGGTTACAGAAGATTTGGTAAAAGACCAAGTCCGTATTATGGCAAGAACAGCTTACATAAGCAAAGAGAAACGACATTCCATCATTACTTTAAGACGTGAAGGTCAGTCAATACGGAACATGTCAAGAACTTTGAAAGTTTCTTCAAGTGCAGTCGTAAAGACTATCAAGCACTATGATGAAACTGGTTCTCATGAGGACCGCCACAGGAATGGAAGACCCAGAGTTACCTCTGCTGCAGAAGATAAGTTCATTAGAGTTACCAGCCTCAGAAATTGCAGCCCAAATAAATGCTTCACAGAGTTCAAGTAACAGACACATCTCAACATCAACTGTTCAGAGGAGACTGTGTGAATCAGGCCTTCATGGTCGAATTCCTGCAAAGAAACCACTACTAAAGGACACCAATAAGAAGAAGAGACCTGCTTGGGCCAAGAAACACGAGCAATGTACATTAGACCGGTGGAAATTTGTCCTTTGGTCTGGAGTCCAAATTTGAGATTTTTGGTTCAAACCGCCGTGTCCCATCTGGTTTGGGCTTAGTGGGACTATCATTTGTTTTTTAACAGGACAATGACCTAGGACCTGCCACTCAAATGCCCCCGACCTCAACCCAATTGAGATGGTTTTGGGATGTAGTGAGTACGGACGAACAAACGAAGTAAGGGAAGCAGCAACAATAGCTCAGATCATTGGAAACCGCTTCAAGATGTTGGAAAATTATTCCAGGTAAGTGGTTGCGAATGCCAAGGTGTGAAAAGCATGTTCATCAAGGCAAACGGGTGGCTATTGAAGAATCTCAAATATAACATATATTTTTTAACACTTTTTTGTTACTACATGATTCCATATGTGTTTTCTCATAGTTTTGATGTCTTCACTATTATTCTACAATGTAGAAAATAGTAAAAAATAAAGAAAAACCCTTGAATGAGTAGGTGTGTCCAAACTTTTGACTGGTACTGTATGTATGTATGGTATGTATGTATGTATGTATGGTATGTATGGTATGTATGGTATTGTATACATACTGAACAAAAATCTAAACGCAACATGTAAAGTGTTGGTCCCATGTTTCATGAGCTGAAATAAAAGATCCCAGAAATGTTCCATACGCACAAAAAGCGTATTTCTCTAAAATGTTGTGCACAAATATGTTTACATCCCTGTAAGTGAGCATTTCTCCTTGGCATATCAAGAAGCTGATTAAACAGCATGATCATTACACAGGTGCACCTTGTGCTGGGGACAATAAAATGTGCAGTTTTGTCACACAACACAATGCCACAGATATTGCAAACATTTCTAAAAACCTGTTTTCACTTTGTCATTATGGGGTATTGTATGAAGATTGATGAGGGAAAAATATAATTTCATCCATTTTAGAATAAGGCTGTAATGTAACATAATGTGTAAAAAGGGAAGGGGTCTATCCAGGCTCTGTCGCCGCCGGCCGCGACCGGGAGACTCATGGGCGGCGCACAATTGGCCCAGCGTCGTCCAGGGTAGGGGAGGGAATGGCCGGCAGGGATGTAGCTCAGTTGATAGTGCATGGCGTTTGCAACGCCAGGGTTGTGGGTTCGATTCCCACGGGGGGCCAGTATAAAAAAAATATGTATTCACTAACTGTAAGTCGCTCTGGATAAGAGCGTCTGCTAAATGACTAAAATGTAATGTAATGTATGTCTGAATACTTTCTGAATGAACTGTATATGTGTGTGTAAAGAATGTGTGTAACAATCGGCTCTCTCTGTGTGAAAATTAGGTCAACTGGGATCTGCCTGTCATGAAGCAATGGAGGGAACTCTCTCTTTTTGTGTGTGTGTGTGTGTGTGTGTGTGTGCCTCAGTTCACTGGGTCTTTAGGTTTCTGCTAGCCCCTGTTACTGCAATTCTGATGCCCCCACAAGCCCCTAACCCTGGGTAAACGACAGTTACCTCTCACACGTTCCCCTGCAGTGCCCCTGTTACCTACACACAGTAGCACCATTCCAGACAGACACTGTACCAGGTCTGAGAGGGGGGTCATACACACCAATGAAACAATATGTGTTTGAGCAGGGTTTGTTTAGACAGTTGTAGCATGCGCGCACACACACACACACCAGGTACATCCACATTCCCTAGCCCGGTAGTTCCCAACTTTATTTTTTACTGTACCACCAACAGATTTCTTTCTCTGCATGGAGAACCCCTGAAGTATCCCCTCATGTGCATTTTACCAGTAGGCTTATGGTCTCACGAGTCTTCTCAAGTACCCCCTGTGGATAGGCCATGTACCCTCAGGGGTCCTAGTACTCCTGGTTGGGAACCACTGCCCTAGCCCACAGGGAGACCTTTTAGAGCCACACAAACTGTCTCTTTATCAGCTTTGAGGATGTGATACCCTCGGCATTTCCCAGCTCAAATCCTGAGCTGTTAGACCTGTAAGAGCTTAGACATGTCCTTTGACTGATTATAGCTTAAGTGTGCCACTAGAAACCAAAGCAGGCCACTGCTATTTCAGCCCCATCTCTGCTATAGGAGAGAATTCCTCCCTGAAGAATCGGTCAAGTCCAACCTTATACAGATACACTCATAATAGGCCATCATGTGTTGAATCATGTAGCACAATCAATATTCATATCCAATGTAAAATGCCCCTCATGAAGCCACCCTGATTATTACTTTGAAAACTTTATTTTCTGTATAATTTCTCCTAGGATAACCTATTAACCTTCATTGTGAGAAAGGCTTTATCTATGTCTGTTCAAAGCCTTGAGAATTGTGTGCGTGTGTGTGTTTTTTTAGCCTGTGGGATTGTATGCAGTGAGCACTACTGTCTAACAGTTAAACAGAATGGCAAACATTAGCTTTCAGGATTTCTCAGGCTTCGTGAAATGCAAAATGTCCATGCTACTGAATTCCCTTTTCTGTCATCACCTGCAGCTGTGCATACGCATGTGAGTGTGTGTGTTCATGTGAGTGACAGAAGGTGTGCCAGTACCCAGCATGCACCAGCACATGTTCCTAAGATAAATGACTCCATTAGGGGACATAACTCAGATGGTTGGCATGGCGCTCTGGCTGTGTGTGTGCACGTATGGAGCTCTGGCTGTGTGTGTGCACGTATGGAGCTCTGGCTGTTTGTGTGCACGTATGGAGCTCTGGCTGTGTGTATGCACGTATGGAGCTCTGGCTGTGTGTGTGCACGTATGGAGCTCTGGCTGTGTGTGTGCACGTATGGAGCTCTGGCTGTTTGTGTGCACGTATGGAGCTCTGGCTGTGTGTGTGCATGTACCACCCGTGTGTTTTTAGAGAAATGTCTGCCCTTATTTTGTGCTGAACCACTATTCTAACAACCATCTCCTTAATTATGAGACTCAAGGGAAATATCACTCTCTCTCTTTCTGCTTCTCACTGTCTTTCTCTATTTACCTCTCTCCATCGGTCCCCCTCCTTCTCTCCCGTTCTCCTTCCCTTCCTCGTCTGTCTGTCTGTCTCTCACTGACTCAATCACACATGAAAGGCTCTCTGAGGAGCTCAGCTGGATCTGTTTTTCTCACCGGCCTCATGTTTCTGAATTACTGAGGAATTATGAAATAACTTCTTGGCTCTAGGGAACTGACCAGCTACACAGCAGATGTAGCAACCAGGAAAAATAGCCCCAAAACAACAAACAAAACGCTAGTTGAACGCTAGTTACAAGACAAAGTATACCACCCCACATTCATGGACACACGCAGTTTGCACAATCATTTGCCCTAGATACTCACCCTTCAGTTGATGCTCAGTAATGCATTGGCCACATTAGCCATACAGGCTTAATCTTATTTTATTAATTTTTTGTGTGTATTTTTTGTATTGAATTTAAAACATACAATCTACCTGCAGTGAAGCTGCTCAACAATTACGTTTAGTCATCTAGCAGACACTCCCATCCAGAGCGACCCACAGGAGCAACCAGGATCAAGCGCCCCGCCCAAGGGCACATCGACAGATCTCCCACCAAGTCGAATCGGGGACCCTAACCAGCGACCTCTCGGCCACTCACCCAACCTCCCAAACGCCAGGCCACCAACCATCCAAGATCCCCTCCCACAGTTCCCCGAGAGATGCCCCTCAACCATCCGAGACTCCCCCCCCCAAAAAAACCTCCCCCTCCATTTCTGTATGGACATTGCTTTGTACACATGGGCATGCTGAAACAGGAAAGGGCCTTCCCCAAACTGTTGCCACAAAGTTGGAAGCACAGAATCGTCTAGAATGTAATTGTATGCTGTAGGAACTAAGCCCAAACCATGAAAAACAGCCCCAGACCATTATTCCTCCTCCACCAAACGTTACAGTTGACACTATGCATAAGAGAAGATAGTGTTCTCCTGGCATCCGCCAAACCCAGATTCGTCCGTCGGACTGCCAGATGGTGAAGCGTGATTTATCACTCCAGAGAAAGCATTTCCACTGCTTCAGAGTCCAATGGCAGCAATCTTTACACCACTCCAGCCGACGCTTGGCATTCTGCATGGTGAGCTTAGGCTTGTGTGCGGCTGCTTGGCCATGGAAACCCATTTCATGAAGCTTCCGACTAACAGTTCTTGTGCTGATGTTGTTTCCAGAGGCAGTTTGGAACTCGGTAGTGAGTGTTGCAACAGAGGACAGGATTTTTAAGCGCTTCAGCACTCGGCGGTCCTGTTCTGTGAGCTTGTGTGGCCTACCACTTCGCAGCTGAGCCGTTGTTGCTCCTAGACTTTTCCACTTCACAATAACAGCACTTACAGATGACCAGGGCAGCTCTAGCAGGGAAGACATTTTATGAGCTGACTTGTTGGAAAGGTGGCATCCTATGACGGTGCCACGTTGAAAGTCACTGAGCTCTTCACTAAGGCCATTCTACTGCCAATGTTTATCTATGGAGATTGCATGGCTGTGTACTCGATTTTATACACCTGTCAGCAATGGGTGTGACTGAAATAGCAGATTCCACTAATTTGAAGGGGTGTCCACATACTTTAGTATATATAGTGTATCATTCAAATATGCCGTGATGTTTAATGGTCCTCTGTAGCTCAATTGGTAGAGCATGGCGCTTGTAACGCCAGGGTAGTGGGTTCGATCCCCGGGACCACCCATACGTAAAAATGTATGCACACATGACTGTAAGTCGCTTTGGATAAAAGCGTCTGCTAAATGGCATATTATTATTATTATTATTTAACATACAATTTTAAATCTATCTAATCGAATAGAATCCACAGATTGCGAGTTGAAGATAAATACTTTTACTAAGAGTATTAGTATATTAGTAATTGACTGACCAGGTCTCTCCAAATCTCCCGACAATGCTATTTCTAGAGTCAGTTTTAGATTAATATTATGCTTTTCAGCCATTCCTGAACCTGAAACCAGAAACAGGCAAACATTTGGGCAATACCAGAACAAATGGTCTTGATTCTGTATCCTCACAACAAAATCTGCAGAGCTGCGATGATTGTATGCCCCAAATATTCAACATTTTGTTTGTGGCAAGAATTTTCTGTACAAGAATTTTTGATGAAAAGCTCAAAGTCTTGAATCTTGCGTCATTTTATATATCAACTCATACACCCTGTGCCATGGAATCGGTACATAAAAAATCTCTTCCCAGCTATTTAGCAATCTGTATGGCACAGCCGTCAACATCCTGGTCCTCAGATGAAACCAGTATACTTTCCTATTTATGCTATTTTTGTTCCTCTGCCAGTTTTTATATTGGGCAGACAGACCAGTTCCCTACCTCCTCCCGCTGCCACCTGCCTCCTCCATTTGTTGGTTGTAATCTTGGATTGAGCAGACCTTCCCATACAATTCCGATAGCTCCATGAATGGCATAACTCTACCATTACAATTTACAATATCATTTAAAAACAAAATACAATTCTCAAACATATTTTCCATAAATACAGGTATTTTATCAACCAGCACATTTGAGGTCAACCATAATATTTGTTGTAATATAGTTTCTGGGGAATGAAATTGCTCTGCATTGCTAGTTTGAAAAAGAGAGATACTTTGGACTTGGGAAAGCTGATCTGAGATCTATTCTAAGAACCTCCCTAAAGTCTAGAACCACAGACTCCGATAGGACATCCCTCAACACAAAACACTGCAGGTTCTTTTTAAAGATCCTTACTTATTTTTTGTAATTTTAAATAGATTTCTAAGTCTTTTTGTAAATGATTGTAAAGCCCAATATAGTACTTTACAATAATTGTATGGCTTTTATCGCGATCGACCTGTTGGCGCGCGCACTGCTTAGAGGGAACATTGGTCACCATGTGAAGGATCGGCCAAGCATTCAGAAGCATGCCTCAGGCTACGGTCCCTAAAGGTTGGGGAAGGCACACAGGTCACATGACTTTCTGTGACATCTTGTGGTTGAGACATCGACTGCTGGACAGCTCAGAGAGAGAGACCATGCGGAATCCATATGTCAAGGGTGTACTATATTGGGCTTTACAATCATTTACAAAAATACTTAGAAATCTATTTAAAATTACAAAAAATAAGTAAGGATCTTTAAAAAGAACCTGCAGTGTTTTGTGTTGGGGGTTGTCCTATCTGAGTCTGTGGTTCTAGACTTTAGGGAGGTTCTTAGAATTTATTTCGGATTAGCTTTCCCAAGTCCAAACCTGAACTAAATAATTACGAGGTTTGTTTGCCTGCTTATTTTTATTGGACTTCAATTGGGTTTTGATTTCCTTATTTATTGACACACCAGATTCGTCCTGTGTTCATGACCTCACCAGCATAATACATCCTAATCAAAGAGCAGTTTATTCTCAAATAGTCAAACTCAAAAAACTTGAAGAATTTTAGTTGAAATCCCATCTGCATTCATAATTAGATGAACTTTGATGTGTTTGATGCCATGCTCCATCGACTTAGGCCTCTCAATTCTGTTTGATGCGGTGTTGACACACTTGTGTGGTCCAGTCATACACTAACCCTGAGTTTCGCTACTCCCAAGGTGCCCTGGCTGTATCTCTGAAGTGTCCCTTTGTACATGCCTTAGCTACAGTCGAGGCCTGGAGAAGACCCATCAATATTCATAACCTTTCCAAAGCGAGGGATGACAGCTTTGTGCTGTGCTGCGCTCGTCTGCCGAGGAGCAAAAAAAGACAAAAGGAGGATGGCTTTGGTTTAACCCTGCTGTTTTCAAGGCCCACTCTCTGACACCTCTCAGATGCCTGCTGGGGTATATGAAGTAATCTAAAGAACTTTAGCGGAGTTATCAAAGAATTATGGTCAGATTGCTAATGTTGGAAGCCTAGTCACAGCCATTATCATTGGGAAGGTGGTCGTCTGGAGTTGACAGCTGAAAACATAACCTATTTTGCTTGAGTAGAGGAGAAAGGACCAATGGTTTATATCTTTTTATAGGCTAATGTTCTGTGTAACAAATGGATGTGGCCAAACCGGTTTCACCAATGTTGCATCTCATTAGGTAACTGCCTAAACCAATATCCCCCAGCAATTGTATTTGTGTTTTAATGTGAATTGAGATGATCTTTAACCTTAAGCCTGTTATTTTTTTTACCTTTCCCAGGACAACATCAACGTGGATGAGGCAGCTCGGTTCCTGGTGGAGAACATCCTGCTGAATGACAAGGGCCTGCCGTACGAGGAGAGCAACGGAGACCGCATCAAACTGGACCAGGAGACGATGGCTGCCGAGAGTAAATCAGGCTGCTGCTAGCACTGAGGACTCCTACTGCGTCCACCCCCCCCCCCGGATCTAGTGCTCTCCCTGATGCCCTGTGTTATCAGGCTCTGGTTGTGGAAGACAGAGGAGCACCCTGATGGAGGTGACACACTAGATATAGAAACTTACCCTCTTACCGTTACCACTATGTTCTCATTGTTCTCACACTGTTGTCACAATTACGCATGTAATTGTCATGTTTCATAATGGTTTCAATAGTTTTTTTTTCTTCTCATATTTTTCTCTGAAGGCGTGAACAAAGGTGGGACTAAGACTGTGCCATAAATAATAAGTTTGTCTGTTTTTTATCATGATATGATCGGTGTAATGTTTTCAAGTGTTCTTCTAGGCAATGCTAGTCACACACGGACACAAAAGGACATCTTGAAAGAAAAAACATATAATAGAAGGAAGGTACCATAGGAACTCTGATTGAAATCCCTAAGCGACTTGATGCCTTTTTTTCGAAAATATTAATCTGTTTTGGGGGGGTGTAGATCAGTTTTAATATTGCAGATAGATTTTAGGTTCTATCAAATTAATAGTTTGCATCATTTCTAATCCTCTTTATTTTTACCCAACACTACTGCCCCTCCCCTGATTGGAGTAAACGAATGGACAACAATACTTTTACTGCTACTTAAAGCTTTCACATGTACGGTGCATGTAGTTAACTAATTATACATGTATTCCTAATTTCCTCTTTCTGCAGTTGCTGGATTTTCACTTGATGTCTTTGTGATAGTACGAAAGAGTACATCTAAGATGTGTATTTTTTTTTTAAACATTTGTGCTTTATCATGGATGTATAATTCCTTGTGAGGTACAAAAAGCATCAGGCGTGGGAGTGAACCCTCCCTCTGCCCAAGAAGTTGAGTTTCATAGGCAAGTGTAAATGCTTTTTGAAGCAAAGTGCTGGGTCTATCAAATGGTTATGTGACAATATACATTGAATCTACCACAAGAACAAAAAATAATAAACATTTTAATTGAGACTGCATTGCATGTTTTGTCTTCTTGGCTTAATCCTTTATTAGTGACAATATTTAACACAATGGAATTGAAAGTGTGTGTGTTTGTGTGTGTTAACGAAAACACTAGTTGGAGGTGATCCCTCGAGGCTCAACATAGGAACTGAAAATGGAATCGGAGAAATGGAAATTCACGTTATAAAATGTTTCACAACATCATTCCCTGGGCTCGTGTGTGTGTCAGGCATGGCCATGCGGTACCACTTAGAGGAGGCTGTGTGTGTGTAATAGTCATCAGACTGTTCTGCTCACCACTGCAGCTCGTGTTCTCCCATGCTCCTATTATTATCAGAGAAGAAACCAACGTCACACTGGCCTCCAGGACACAGACACACTCAGCAATGTCTACTACTGCCCATTGACTTGCTCGCTACTGACTTCCGCTCATTTATACTGTAATACAGTATACAGTGGGGGAAAATAGTATTTAGTCAGCCACCAATTGTGCAAGTTCTCCCACTTAAAAAGATGAGAGAGGCCTGTAATTTTCATCATAGGTACACATCAACTATGACAGACAAATTCAGAGAAAGAAAATCCAGAAAATCACATTGTAGGATTTTTTATGAATTTATTTGCAAATTATGGTGGAAAATAAGTATTTGGTCACCTACAAACAAGCAAGATTTCTGGCTCTCACAGACCTGTAACTTCTTCTTTAAGAGGCTCCTCTGTCCTCCACTCGTTACCTGTATTAATGGCACCTGTTTGAACTTGTTATCAGTATAAAAGACACCTGTCCACAACCTCAAACAGTCACACTCCAAACTCCACTATGGCCAAGAGCTGTCAAAGGACACCAGAAACAAAATTTGTAGACCTGCACCAGGCTGGGAAGACTGAATCTGCAATAGGTAAGCAGCTTGGTTTGAAGAAATCAACTGTGGGAGCAATTATTAGGAAATGGAAGACATACAAGACCACTAATAATCTCCCTCGATCTGGGGCTCCATGCAAGATCTCACCCCGTGGGGTCAAAATGATCACAAGAACGGTGAGCAAAAATCCCAGAACCACGGGGGACCTAGTGAATGACCTGCAGAGAGCTGGCACCAAAGTAACAAAGCCTACCATCAGTAACACACTACGCCGCCAAGGGACTCAAATCCTGCAGTGCCAGACGTGTCCCCCTGCTTAAGCCAGTACATGTCCAGGCCCGTCTGAAGTTTGCTAGAGTGCATTTGGATGATCCAGAAGAGGATTGGGAGAATGTCATATGGTCAGATGAAACCAAAATATAACTTTTTGGTAAAAACTCAACTCGTCGTGTTTGGAGGACAAAGAATGCTGAGTTGCATCCAAAGAACACCATACCTACTGTGAAGCATGGGGGTGGAAACATCATGCTTTGGGGCTGTTTTTCTGCAAAGGGACCAGGACGACTGATCCGTGTAAAGGAAAGAATGAATGGGGCCATGTATCGTGAGATTTTGAGTGAAAACCTCCTTCCATCAGCAAGGGCATTGAAGATGAAACGTGGCTGGGTCTTTCAGCATGACAATGATCCCAAACACACCGCCCGGGCAACGAAGGAGTGGCTTCGTAAGAAGCATTTCAAGGTCCTGGAGTGGCCTAGCCAGTCTCCAGATCTCAACCCCATAGAAAATCTTTGGAGGGAGTTGAAAGTCCGTGTTGCCCAGCGACAGCCCCAAAACATCACTGCTCTATAGGAGATCTGCATGGAGGAATGGGCCAAAATACCAGCAACAGTGTGTGAAAACCTTGTGAAGACTTACAGAAAACGTTTGACCTGTGTCATTGCCAACAAAGGGTATATAACAAAGTATTGAGAAACTTTTGTGATTGACCAAATACTTATTTTCCACCATAATATGCAAATAAATTCATTAAAAATCCTACAATGTGATTTTCTGGATTTCTTTTTCTCATTTTGTCTGTCATAGTTGACGTGTACCTATGATGAAAATTACAGGCCGCTCTCATCTTTTTAAGTGGGAGAACTTGCACAATTGGTGGCTGATTAAATACTTTTTTTCCCCACTGTACATATGCAATTTGAGTAATGGTCTATCAGTGCCAGTTCAACATAACTAAGCCACTGATTACTTTTATAAAGTGGACATAAGTGGAATTTTATAAAGGCTAAATGTACAGTAGGCCTACTTTCTACTACCCCATATACAGTAAAGCTGTTTTCACATTATGACAAGTTGGCTGATACTTACAAACACACTCCAGCAGTGTCCCTTGATTTAGTGTAACAACAATCATGTTTAATACTACCCGACCTAATGTACTCTACCAGTCAAAAGTTTGGACACCTACTCATTCAAGGGTTTTTCTTTTTTATACTATTTTTTATATTGTAGAATAATAGTGAAGACATCAAAACTATGAAATAACACATATGGAAACATGTAGTAACCACAAAAGTGTTAAACAGATCAAATATTTTTTATATTTGAAATTCTTCAAATAGCCACCATTTGCCTTGATGACAGCTTTGCACACTTGGCATTCTCTCAACCAGCTTCATGAGGTAGTCACCTGGAATGCATTTCAATTAACAGGTGTGCCTTCTTAAAAGTTAATTTGTGGAATGCATTTGAGCCAATCAGTTGTGTTGTAGGTAGGGGGGTGGTATACAGAAGATAGCCCTATTTGGTAAAAGACCAAGTCCATATTATGGCAAGAACTTTGAAAGTTTCTTCAAGTGCTATGATGAAACTGGCTCTCATGAGGACAGCCACAGGAATGGAAGACCCAGAGTTACCTCTGCTGCAGAGGATAAGTTCATTAGAGTTACCAGTCTCAGAAACTGCAGCCCAAATAAATGCTTCACAGAGTTCAAGTAACAGACACATCTCAACATCAACTGTTCAGAGGGGACTGTGTGAATCAGGCCTTCATGATAGAATTCCTGCAAAGAAACCACTACTAAAGGACACCAATAAGAAGAAGAGGCCTGCGTGGGCCAAGAAACACGAGCAATGGACATTAGAGTCCAAATGTAAGATTTCTGGTTCCAACCGCTGTGTCTTTGTGAGACGCGGTGTGGGTGAACGGATGATCTCCGCATGTGTAGCTCCCACCGTAAAGCATGGAGGAGGAGGTGGTGTGGGGGTGCTTTGCTGGTGACACTGTCTGTTATTTATTTAGAATTCAAGGCACACTTAACCAGCATGGCTACCACAGCATTCTGCAGCGATACGCCATCCCATCTGGTTTGGGCTTAGTCGTTTGTTTTTTAACAGGACAATGACCCAACACACCTCCAGGCTGTGTAAGGGCTATTTTACCAAGAGGAGAGTGACGGAGTGCTGCATCAGATGACCTGGCCTCCACAATCACCCGACCTCAATCCAATTGAGATGATTTGGGATGAGTCGGACGGCAGAGTGAAGGAAAAGCAGCCAACAAGTGCTCAGCATATGTGGGAACTCCTTCAAGACTGTTGGAAAAGCATTCCAGGTGAAGCTGGTTGAGAGAATGCCAAGAGTGTGAAAAGCTGTCATCAAGGCAAAGGGTGGCTATATATATTAAAATATATTCTGATTTGTTTAACACTTTTTTGGTTACTACATGATTCCATATGTGTTATTTCATAGTTTTGATGTCTTCACTATTAGTAAAAATAAAGAAAAACCCTTGAATGAGTAGGTGTGTCCAAACTTTTGACTGGTACTGTATACAAATGGAAAAGTAAATGTTGCTACATTCCCTGTTGTTGGGATTTGAATGCATAGCTTTGGCTACTCATAAAGTCAAGGTTATCTTTATAGGATATGTTTTGAGTAGCCAATTAATATTTTATTAAAGAAATAGCAACAGTCAAATTAATCTCATTAATGACAATACCCAGAGACAGACAAGGAAACAGTCTTTCTATTTTGACTTTAGTCCGTGTGAGCCAAACATAAACAGAGAATTAGATTAGGCCTGCACACAAGAGTACAATAGGCCTATATACATCTGATCCAAATCCAGAATTTTAGAGCTATT